AAAAATCACCAAAAAGCTAAACCGAGAAACATGGTCAGCTAAGGCCCTACTTCTTATATTTCACTTGGTTATCCTACATGCAATGTACGCGGATCAAAGTGATGCAGGATGTGGAACGGATGTGGTTACAACTTTAGTGTATGTAAGCAAACTAACGCATTTTCCTTTTATCCTGGGACTTGTGGAGCTCCGTAAATGCGTGTTTTTGTGTATGTGCAACAACCACGAGTTGGTTGGCAATTTCAGGTCCAAAAACAGATTCAAACTTGGTCGAGTCTTCTTCTCTTACTCAATGGCTCTTCCTGTTCCCTCATCTTTTCTCTCTCTGTCATTCTATTTAGAAGCCAGAGATAGTTTTTAGTTAATTTCTCCCCCACATAAATACTACGACACCAACAACCTAATCTGCAGAGGGTGTCTGAAGGTTCTCTAAAAGACGGCGTGGCCAAGGAAATCGTTGGTATTTCTTTACTCAATAATTCGCCCATCTTTATTGAGAGCTTGTAGGATGGTAGCACTAGTGACTTGGCTTATTCCTTGTTTTTTTCCAAATGGTTTCTTTCTATCCAATTTCGTATTATTTTGAAATTGCCAGCACTTAATGCTAACGGATAATTGTTTTCAACTAAGAATTTTCCTAGCCTTTCTAATTCTTGTTTCTCATAATTTACGTCCGCTAGACGTAAACTCCTTAGTACCATTGAGTTCATTACACTTTAACACCATACGTATGATTCGAGAAGAAATTAAGAAGGAAACCCGCATTTCTATGTTTTCTATATACATATCTACCCAGTTTGTTACCTTTTTTTAATACCTAGAGCACCCAGCTCATTTTTGGAGATACTTATTTTCATTATATGATCTTTTCTTGGTTTCAGCCTTGAAATGCAAACGAAACGGTACGCAAGCATTTTGTGTTTGCTTTTCCTCTCAGATGCCTAGTGCGATGGCCAAATTTCTGCGGGCCTGGTACAACTCGCCTCCAGTAGCCTCTTTTCATTGTTTCAATCATGTTTTGTTGCTTGCACTTCTTTGCCTCAATGGTGATACAGTTTTCTCGGTGGTTGGATCTCTGATGCTTGTATTTTTGAGCTCACTCCCGTTTAGAGTTAAAGTGTCTACAGAAGTGATTTGAGGATTGACCTCATCAGAAATCTCTTTTGATTCAAGTGAAAACGTGCAATGACTCGTCCGTCGTATGCTGGACATCAGCAGAACAGGGTACCATCCCTATGATCATATTCAAGTTAACTATTTAAAAAAAGTAAAACTAAAGCTTTACGCGTTTTCATCGAAATCGAAGGCGCTTGCCTCGGAGACAACTTCAACAAGAAAGTTCCAGTAAAACTGATCGGCAGAGGAGGAATCTGGCGTTGTTTCCTGGTGAAACCAACCTTCGAATACCTTCACTAGACATTTTTACTTAAATAATATACTTGTAAACCGAGATATTCTTCAAAACCGTGATGCTTTCATACTTTGGCCAGTCGCTTTCCAAATATCGACTCCTTTTAGCTTCCACATGTCTGATATAAACATGTGGACCTACCAATTGGGTCAAAAACCCTGCCCAAGATTGGTTTACAAAGCCCTTATTTTAATGCCAAACAGTAAAAATGAAACCTCTAAAGTCATCCTTTAACGGTTAAGTTTTACATTTCTTATAGTGCCGTCCTTTTGGTGCTTTTCGGCGCCCAGAAATGCTATACTCTGACCCCGAGTTCGAGGTGTCCCTCGGCCTCCAGACCTCTTTTCCCTTCAAACCCGCCGAGAAAATTCGAAATCTCCGCATCCCCCATCGACACATTGGGCTTCTGCCGGCATGCTCCACCGTTTGCCAAGTGGATCAGCAACGCTCAAACTCTCTGGTACCGATTTCGTCACCGGTCTCGAGCCTGCCGACAGCCGCCATGCCGCTTCCGTCCCCAACTCCACCGCCACGCCCAACACCTCCGTCATCGTGGCAATCGGAAACGGCTCCCTTATTGCCACTACAACAACGCTCTCTCTCTGACGTACCCTCCAGTTTGCCCGCAAGACCCACCGGTTTAGCGGCTCCGAGCCAGTTGAGGACCTCTCTGCCCGGTCATACAGTCTCCTTCCAGCGTGGGCATCCTCGAGATCGTCTTCAAGAGCTGCAGTGCCCGACTCCTGAAAATTTCCCATCTCATGGTCCTCCCATTCGAGCGAAACGCACCTTCTATCTTCCTCAGAGCATGATGAATCGCCTCGCCTTCCGGCGGCGTCGACGAGCTTACTACCGTCTCCTCGCTTTGGCCGCCTGGACGCGTCATTTGGCGAATGAACGGAAACAGTCCTCAGCGGCTCAGGCTGGTTTGCCCAACCTTCCCACCGTCAGTTGTCTTGCGGCTCTGGGCGCCAGGCCGACTTGGCTGAACAGCCTCTTGCTAGACCGGAAAACGATAAGAGTGAAAAACGCTGCTGTCCGGAGGTGCTCGTCTTCCGTCACGCTTGAGCTGAAAGACTTGACGCAATCAAGTTGGGAAGGCGAATGGAACGCTGTCGATAAGGCGAATGAAGATTTGTCCAACCAAGGCTTCCTTTCTACACACGCCCAAAGTGCAGACTTGTTCGCGGCTCCAGTTGTTGGAGCCAGTCTCAAGGAGCCGAGTTCGCTGATAGAACTCCGGCTGAAGAGCATCAGTTCATCCGGCATTTATGGTCTCCCAGCGGATCCTCCGGTCACGGTTGCCAAACAGCCTTTGATGATACTGACAGATCGTATTAACCGCATTGAAGAGTGAGTATATTGCAGTAATTCTGTTTTTTCTTGTCATTTCAACGGGACTAAACTGACTGTTTTCAG